TTGAGGGAAGGGGAATGGATTTCCCTTCCCTTTGGATATATTTCAGATGAAGTAGTGGAATCTTCGCATCGAGGGAAGGGAAGGGGAATGGATTTCCCTTCCCTTTGGTTATACTTCAGATGAAGTAGCGGAATCTTTACATCAAGGGAAGGGAAGGGGAAAGGATTTCCCTTCCCTTTGGATATACTTCAGATGAAGTAGCGGAATCTTTACATCAAGGGAAGGGAAGGTGTTAAATGTAAAATGATGATTTAGTTATGAAATTGTTTTATGTATTTTTGTAAATTGTTGAGTACGCGTCTATAATTGCCCCGAGACGTGGTGGTGGTTGCCATGGTGACGTCAGGGTGGGATTTTTGGGTGCGCGTCTCTATTTGTTAAGTCGTGTTAAGTAAGTAGGTAGAAGAATTCTACACAGTCGAGTTTTAGTCGTTGTAAGAGTCAGACATTTTGGATTTTAGTCGTCGTGGTAGGAAATCAAGAGTAAGAATTGTTAATTCTTTGTAATTGATGTCCACGATTAATTTGTTAATAGTAAGTCACCAATCAACTCGTGTTAGTGCAGAGCTCTGAATTGTGTTGACAATTTGATAATTTGTTGAAAATAAAATCCAGTTTAAGCAGATAAAATAATCGTATATTCACTCAGTCACTTTCTTCAATTCCAACGAGCAAAGCACAATTAAATATTCGTAAAGACACTATACTCCGGGTAGGTGATAGCTTGGTTTTTATATTAGTGGTGACCTCGACGTGATTGCTCGTTGGGTCAGCTTTAGTTGAAAGTTGACTAGTTATAGTGGTCAGTGAGTTGTGACCTTTTGAGTGAATTAGTGTACGTGCAAAGACTGTTCCGTGGAAATCCTGTGCAAGTGTTGCTGTCTGGACGAGGAGCAGATCGAATTGGTGTACGTGCAAAAAGTGTTCCGTGGAAATCCTGGGCGATTGTTGCTGTCTGGACGAGGAGCAGATCGAATGGGTGTACGTGCAAACAGTGTTCCGTGGAAATCCTGGGCGATTGTTGCTGTCTGGACGAGGAGCAGATCGAATTGGTGTACGTGCAAAAAGTGTTCCGTGGAAATCCTGGGCGATTGTTGCTGTCTGGACGAGGAGCAGATTCAAAGCAGAGGATTCACATCAAGCCTTGCCTCATTGAGGACCCGACCCTGAGTATTCGGGGGCTGTTCAGGTGATACATTTCTAGTTTTTATTGTTGCTGTGAAGTAGTCCGTGAGGAAGGAGTGACCGACCAGATTGAAATCGGCGTGTCCGGCCCGAGAGGAACTTCAACTTTATTCGTCTATTAATCAATTACTGTCTTGCCTCGTTGAGGGCCCCATCCTGAGCGTTCGGGAGCCATAGAGGTCGGCATTGTTGCTGATTGAGTTAATAAGCGTGTACTGTTCTAATTGTTTTTGTTTGTCGGATTTGAGATAACATCATGGATCGACTGAAGAAGGCGATGACTCCAGTTCGAGCTTCCATTACCAAGACGGTGGATGGTGTAGTTGCTGAGTTGGCGAAAGATCCAAAGGACTCGAGAGAACTTACCATCAAGTTAAGGAAGTTGGAATCCCTGCAGACGTCGATCAGAGAACATGATGAAAAGGTGCTTACCCAGATGTTGGATGACAATTGCACGGCGGAGTCTTATGGGGAGGAGAGTGCAGTGAATGAAGAATATTCAGATAGAATCAGAGTTTCTATCATGGATATTGAGAAGATTCTTAATGCAGAAATCCGTCCACCAAGTCCGAGTGCAAGTAGCAGCTATGTCACCGTGAATGGGGAGCGTATCAAGAAGAATAGAAACTTCAAACTGCCCAAGATCGAGCTACAGAAATTCGATGGGAGTTGGAAGAGCTGGTTAGGGTGGTGGGCTCAATACCGTCAGATTCACGAAGATGATGAATTGCGAGTAAACGTGAAGTTTCAGTATTTGATTCAAGCCATCGTCCCCGGATCAGAAGCAGAAAAAGTGATCAAGATTTATCCACGGTCGGATCAGAATTATCCTTTGGTGGTTGAGAAGCTGAAGTCACGGTTTGGTGATGAGAAGATTTTACGCCAAATTTATATCAGAGAATTGTTGGGCCTGGCTATCAATAGCGCCGCGGATTCAAGAGAAGATGCCGACGTGGAAGAATTGCATGACCAGTTGGAAGGTCATTTGAAGAGTCTCGAGTCTTTGGGGAAAGTTAGTGATCCAAATGAACTCATTTATCCATTAGTGGAATCCAGTCTGCCACAGCAAGTGTTACTCAGGTGGCAGAATAGTAATTTGAGGGTACGCGAGAAGAAATCTGACTTGTCTTCTGCTACCAATTTAGAAAACCTGATGGAGTTTTTGCGGCTGGAGGCACAGAATGCCAAAGAAAGAAAATTTGTGCTGTCAACCTTCAGGCAAAGTCCAGTCAAGAATAGAGAGAAAGTAAACGTGTATGCAGAGAGTGAATGTGAAGATTTCTGTACTGCTGCTGGTCTCTATTCAAGTCATCAAGCTGAGCAGTGATGTGCCTTTTGTGGAAAGTCGAATAACAAAAGTTAGAAGTGCTATAAGGCTCAGACATTACCTCTCGAGGAGAAGAAGATCCTGGTGAAAGAGAATCGGGGATGCTTCATCTGCCTAGGAAGAGGACATTATGCAAATGACTGCACCAAGGAGGTCAGTTGCCAAACTTGTGGACGGAAACACTACTCTGTGATGTGTCCCCGACTAAAAATTTTTGGTTGTAATAATATTATTCTATAATGTTAAACAAACGTTCAGTTTGGCCACTTTTGAGAAGTTGAAATAATATTATATTCCAACAAGAAATTAACATCAATGAAATTAACATCATGAATATTACCCCAATATTATAAGAATATTGAATTAATCATATTTTCGGTGATGTCATCAATATTGCATACATGTTCTTCGAATACTGTTGACTAACGTCTGCGCAATACTTCAATGAATATTCTAAGCAGCCAATTGTCAATACCATTACAATACATATTTTTATTTTCATTTCAATAATTATATACATACTTACATTACATACATACTTATTCTTTACAGACTAATTAATATGTACCATTATGAGGATAGCAAACAAATCCGAACTCTTCTGTCGGTAACAGTATACATTTTCTTGCAATTTTTGATTTACAAATAAATTCGGAGACATTACTAATTCTACGGACAACATAAAGATGTATTTTAGTACTATCGATGGGATACAGAAAATACGGCTCTTTATACATAAATTTCCTTATTTCTATCATATTATTTACGCTATTTATTTGCACAATTTTTGCAATACTACCATTACTGAGCATGACATGACAATCGCGTGTATTACTTTTAAGCTTAGGAATTTCAGGCACCTTATTGATTTTGGCACTAAATTTCTGTCCCTCTGCAACTCTACCAATTACTTGCTGCAAAGGACTGCTTTTTCCTCTAAGCATTCGTTTTAACTCTTGCATATAATTTTCGAAACAAAAGGCGCTGGTTCGTTCAAGCGATCCGTATTTGTCTGCATCGTCTGGGAGATGAATTAAAGAATGCAAATTATATTAATTCTTTGGAATATAGCTTTCCAAATTCTCCTACAAACAAGCGCAACATTTGCCTAGCTAAATTATACCAAGAACTATCATTATTTAATAGAATCCTTATCGAAATCGAGAACAACAAGAAATGCTTATACTTATTTTCAGTAAGAATGTCACGTAACACTAAAGGGCCACTGTACAACAAAAAATTTCTAAACTCGGTGCCCTTCCAATACGATAATTCAGCTAATGATCTTGGTTTGCGAGAAAATTCTGATGGAAAATATGGTCTTAGTTCACAAAGTCTACCAGAAATTATGTCAACTTGCTGGCGGCTTAGTTTGTGCGGAATGGGGCCCTTCGTCCATATTACTAACATTTTTTTGCAAACTCCTAAGCACACTAAATGTAAATAGTCCAGTGGAAATTGCGACACCATCCCAAAGTTAAGTCTCAAAAATTCTGAATTCCCAGTGTGGTGAGAAATTTGTTTTTTGCAGCGAAATGAATCGTCAGAACGTAAAGGCGAATTAATATCCGGATAAACTACTTTGCCAACGTGAATTCCTTTTACCTCGCATCTCTCACAAGCATAATATCCCCCATGGCCTATAATTTGTTTCAGCATTGACCTTGCTGGGGCGTCAGCGATCACACATGAAAGTTTGAATTTGAAATGTTTTTCGGCAACAAAAATACCTGTCTGAAGTAATTCCTCTAATTCTAAAATAGTTGGATTTAAATATTTTTCAAGATCTAATGGCTTAGTGTCCCCTAGATACAATCCAATTAAAAAGGGTGTACAATTTATGAGCTTATCTAATTTACCTAAAATAGGCCAAAATTGTTTTTTTGAACTTTTATATACTGGGACTCCATCTATACCTAACATTAAAACAATTTCGTCAGATTGAATATTATTATATTTTTGTGTGACAAGGTATTTTTTTAACCCAAAATGATAGTAAATTCCTCCTGGAATAGAAATTATATTAAAATCTGAACTACGAGGAGTTTGAAGCAAAGATATGTGAGTTTTAGGGAGGCACAAATTTTGAAAATTTAAAGAGAGAATGGATAATAAATCATCCACCGCTACGCCTGTAATATTATGTTTGACAGCCCAGACTGCTAATTTATCCTTAAAATTTACTGGCACGCTACTTGTTTCTGACTCTGATTCCGAACTAATTTCTGATTCAGTAACATTATTTACATAATCTATTAAATTAAATTCTCCTGTCGGATTGTCAAATACAACTGTTTCATTAAAATAATCTTCTACAATATCATTACTATTACTCGGTGTTTGACCAACACCACTACAGATCTCGTCTACACAATTATTCTCTATTTCTCCTAAATCATTACTAATTTCATTGCAAATTACGTCTACAAAACTAGTAGGCTCAAAATCTACAAATTAACTGTTAATTTCATTAAAAATTTGTTGAACTGAATGTTGGAATTTACGTCGCTTCGTCCGATGGGAAGACATCGTGATTACTTTTTGGCTTTAGTTGTGAATGGAGCAAACCGGAACCACTTAGCTATGTACGTGTTAATGTCGTGCTCGGTGGTTCTATCGTAACCCTTAGTTGCTCGCACCCCCCCTGAAATTATTGTATTTTATTTTTAGGCTTAAATTAGACAGGGTTTTTCGTTTGTCACCTTACCAATAATAACTAAATTGATTTTGGAGTAAACATTAAATTCTTGCTTGTTTTTCCCATGGCCAGTTCTGCTGAATTTTGCACCCAGGTCAATGGTCATTAACTTTTCAAGAATCGTCCTCGTAATATCTTCAGCGTCCTTCCCGTCAAGTAGAGATAGGTAGGAAATCTACATTTTTTTAAATAATGGCATTAGAAAAACATTGATCTTTCTGCAAATTATAAATTAAATTAAATTATTTTAACCAACCATTAACCTTCGATTTTCCTTATTTTCTTCTAAATACGTTTCAACCCCTTTGAGGCCATCCACAGTGTCAACTGGAATCGGTGGCAGAGTGGAGAAATCTTCCGGTTCCGGATTCTTGTTACACGCTGTTTTTAGCAGTAGGAAATGTTTGCAAATTTCGTTTTGGGTCTGCTGGATTTGTACCAAATGTCGAACCATCACCTTTTGGAACTCTACAAGTAATGCAAACTATAAATTTAACTATTTATGACCAAATGTGTTTCAAGCCTTACTCATCAAATCATCCTTAGTAGCATATTCCACCTCAAAATTGGTTACAATGGGTGCGAAAGGTACTTGTGAAGACTGCTCCAGTCCAATTGAAAGATTTGAATTTGAATACGATGCGATATGGTCGGGATTTGGAATGAAATTTATTCCCTCTTCAGACACCGTGTTTTCTCCTGGAATCTGTGGAATGTCTAAAATTGAAAAAAAGAGAGTATTGAATTACTGTTAAAATTGTACATACTGAATTTTAGTTGAGCGCAGTTAGGTTATAAATCAAATAAATGAGAATTGTATATTTAATGCTTACTTATCTGTAGAGAAGTTAGTGGGGACGCAAATTGATGGTCGGCAGACTTCCCTTGTAATATTTGTGACGATGAGTGATCACTATCCGAATCAGTTTCTGGCAGCACTGTTTTTGATTTACTGGTAGGCTTTTTTTTGACCCGTCGATCGTTATTGGAGTCAGACTCTAGGCCCGACGTGTCTTGCGCCAAATTAGCAGCTTCTCTTGCGGATAAGTAATTATCTGTAAAATTGGAGAAATTTTAATAAGAACTAACGAACATATTTAATTACAATAAATAAGCAGATAAATAAATAAATGATCAGATTTTACCATAAGTTTGAGGATCCGACATCGGAATGTGGGCCAATTGTTCTGAAAAAGTGATCCACTTTTTACTAATTTTGTTACACCTCCAATGCCCGTCTTATCCGGATAACGACACAGACTCCCTTCTGGATTAATCCAGTTTGAAAGTACTACTTCAACAGCTTCCTCGTCAGGGAACTCGACGACTGAGTACATTTTAGTTTTTAATTATAACTGAATTTGTAGATAGTAAAAAGGTGCACAACGAGAATGCGGGATAGGAATGATGGCGAGCAGTGTGGATAAAAATGTTCAACTGCCACTTTCCTAAAAGACGCTACAATATGCTTATAATATTGGGGAAATGTGTACTCAACATTATTTCCCTCTCGTTATACAATATGACTTAAATGTTAGTAATACATTACGAATTTAACCACATTATTTGTCGTTGTTGTTCCAATATTTACACAATGTCAAGAATTTTTAAAATGTTCTAATATTATTTTAACTAAAATAAAACATGATTTCGCAACAGAAATCCAACAATAACATAAAACTAACAATCGTAATGTAAAAGTAATGTTATCGCAATGTTCTGTTTTAGTCGGGTCCTGGTCAGGTCCGAGAAGAGGAAGTGACGTCAATTAATGAAGATGAATCAAGTAGTTCGGTGGAAGAAACCACCACAAACTTCAGTCAGGGATGCAAAAGTAAAGTTGTCCTGATGAAGACGCTTCGTGTCAAAGTGGGCGGAGTAAGTGGAGTCAAGAAGGAAGTCCGGCTACTTTTCGACGAGGGAAGTCAGAGGTCATACATCAAGACGAAGACAGCCCAGGAATTGAAATGTCAAGTAGTGGACAAGTTGACTCTGCAAAATAGTTTGTTCGGTGGACATGTGACCAGCACCGAAGAAAAGAATTGTTATCGGGTCAACGCCAGCGGTATCGATAGGAAGAATTGTGCGAGGATGAATCTCCAGTTAGTCAACGAGGACTTTATTTGTGGAGAATGCCCAGCAATCCCACCTGGCCCTTGGTGTAAAAAGTTGGCTCGGAAGAAGATCCACACGACAGACACTTCAGCGTCGGAAGTCGACATATTGATAGGAAGTGATCTGTGGGGAAGTTTGATGACCGGAAGAATGGTCAAACTTAGTTGTGGATTAATCGCCGTGGAATCCGTGTTTGGATGGACTATCAGCGGAGTGGTTCCAGGTGGCAACAATAGCAAGTTAAATTACGCTGGTGTCGTAATTAGTTCAAGCAAGAGCTCTGTAGAGAAGAAAACTCAAGAAGAGCATAAACGTGTAAAGGTCGACGAGTTGAGACGGTGGGAGCAGGGTGTTGGGGTTCCCAGAATCGGCCAGCCTGCCATTAGGGGGTGCGGATTGGGAAACGGCAACAGCTTCACTCCAAAGAAGTCAAGATTACTCTCGACAACAAAGGTACTTGGTCTAATTAGTGACAAGTACAAGTACAAGTCGTCATGTGGGAAGATGGAAGCTTGTAACCCCATCGGATTCAGTCGTCCAGCCTCTATTAAGCCGAAGATGAAGGTGCAGAAAGTGGTGGAGAAGAATGCCGAATGGTGGGAGCGACCGACCCCTAGGATTTCAAGATGTCAAGAAAAGAAGCAAGTCCAGAAGGAACCGGAAGTTGGTGGTACGGATCAAGATAGGATCTCGAAGAAATCAGTGCGGTATCCGAAGTGGAATTTATAATTTATTTGTGTAATTTAATTTGAATTTGATAATTGCATAATTTGTTTTTAGAATAGTTCTTTTGCTCTCACAAAAGAAGGTGGGAGTATGTTAAATGTAAAATGATGTATTTATGAAATTGTTTTATGTATTTTTGTAAATTGTTGAGTATGCGTCTAAGATTGCCCCGTGACGTGGTGGTGGTTGCCATGGTGACGTCAGGGTGGGATTTTGAGTGCGCGTCGTCATTTGTTATAAGTCGTAGTAAGTAAGTAGGTAGAAGAATTCTACACAGTCGAGTTTTAGTCGTTGTCAAAGTCAGACATTTTGGATTTTAGTCGTCGTGGTAGGAAATCAAGAGTAAGAATTGTTAATTCTTTGTTATTGATGTCCACGATTAATTTGTCGTTATAGTTAGTCGCCAATCAACTCGTGTTAGTGCAGAGCTCTGAATTGTGTTGACAATTAGTAATTTGTTGGAAATAAAATCCAGTTTAAGTAGATAAAATAATCGTTTATTCACTCAGTCACTTTCTTTAATTCCAACGAGCAAGGCACAATTAAATATTCGTAAAGACACTATACTCCGGGTAGGTGATAGCTTGGTTTTTACAGCTATGAATATATGTATTTAGTTCGGTTTAAATCAAGGGCACACTCTAAAAAACCCGGTAACTAAGTTATTACCAGACGGAGTATCTATGTGACTCTACCGCATGGTAATTAATTTATTATTGAGTGGTAGACATTTTGTTACCAAACCGGTAATAACCCCGGTCGCGAAGTTTAAAAAGATTATCAGTTGGTAACTAATTTTCTACCACTCAATAATAAATTAATTACCATGCGGTAGAGTCACATATGTGACTCTACCGCATTCTTAGAGTGCACCGTCTCCTAAAAACCTTTCTGTCAACTATCACATTTTTACCACCAGTCAACCTGTGGACAAAAATAACTGTTGAAGAGGGTCATTCAAATCTATTAGTGTATTCTGTAAACTCTTTTTACCCTCTTATTTCCTCAATTAAAATAGGTATGTATTTATGTGGATCATTTCAAGTATTGCTTAGATAGATACTTCTACTTCATTCGCAGGGTTTCTGATGATGCCCACGTAATTATTGGAAGCTCCTTGTGTGTGCTTGCATCGTTCTAAAGATAACTACGTATGTACATGTACAATTTGCTATTGTAGCCATAATACAAAATTGCGCTTTCTTTAAAGAAAATGACTACACATGATCGTAGGCAAATATTTATTTGCGTTAATCGTATCCAGTTTTTTTTATTAAACATACGAAACTTCTGCATCAACCGATTTTTTCCTCAAATATTAATAAAAACAAATCCACCCACCAACAAATTATTTGTGCATACGCTCACCCGCCCATAATTCTTGATCATTCGCAGAAACGTATACATATATTACATATCCACTCGTCGGTAACGAAACTAAAAAAACTTCTGCATCACCATGTAAATAGATAAATATTTATTAATCATTTACAAAAAAATACAAGCGATTCTTATCATAATTTACAAAATCCTGATACATAAATAAATATGTATGTAACATTGTGAAGCTTGGGATCAATTTCCTCAGAGTTGTTACGCGATCTAAAAAAATATACTAATTAACTACTTGAATCGTTGAAAGTACGATAAATAATTACGCAACTCACATTTTCCAAAATTATTAGCGAACCCGATTCAAATATTTTCATGGAAATGTGACGCAACCATGGTACGCTGAAACCATGCCGGGGGGACAAAGGTGTGGCAGGATGCGGGGGACTTGACTGGAATAGATGAAGCGAAATTTTTTTAATTATGAAAACGATTCCTTCGCTGTACGTATTTTTAACTATGCAAAAATGGACATTTCGCAAATTCTTTCTTCCCTCGTATTTGTAGAACTTTGCACAGTTTACAAAGTGTGAGGTCATCAACTTACTAGTAATTTTGTCTCCGTCCAGTACTCCAGTCCCACGCGGAGGGTTGCGTTTCTTCCGTCTGCCCGGGAAGCGGAAGCTGGACGTAGTGACGACGCCCTAGTCGAAATCATGAAAAAAGATGCACATAAATTATTCCGCGAACATTTTAACATTTTTTTTTTATTTTTCAATTTTTTTTACAAAAGTCGTTACATAATTACAACTTAAAATTTATTTGTGAATGTTTGAGAAACTAAATTAAAGTAGCCTACTATTAAATAAAGGAAAAACTGAACGGAAAAGTTACAGGCTGATGCAGACACACATACATAACTAACGGAATTTTTAACCTTGCCGTAACTAATCTACATCTACCAAATCTATCAAATTTATCGTGTTCAGGATAGTTTTTCCAGTTAAGAAGTTTCACAATCTTTTGATTAATCTATAAAATCTGTAAAATTCGTAAACTTACAAACTTTACAAATATTTCCGATCAAAATTAGGTCACAAAGTTTTCTCAGATCGTGCCGTCTTTTTTTAATTTGTTTGTAAAATTAGTTTACAAAATGTACATATACAGTCCACAAAGTTACAAAGGACTGTGTGAATTACCTCAATATTTCTCATTTCTTGATTGTAAATCACGACTAAAATTCCAAATAAGAAAATCGTTCCAATAGAAAATTCATCCGACTTACCAGAACTAAAAGCTTCATTGCTTCCAAACCAGCAAAACACCACGACCAAAACCGAGATGATAACGAACTTTGTCATAATGTCTCTCTTTCCCAAATGTTGGAATAAGATTGAGCAGAAAATTGCCTTTATTTTATAAGTAGATTGCACTCCGTCCTTGTCAAAGTGTGCATAAAATATGTACACAACTTTAATATCAATAACAAGTGTACATGCAAAGACAACTTCGCATAGCCCGAGCGATTCTGTACAACTTAATGCAAACCTAGGAAAAAATGAGCTTATTTTACTATTTTTTCATACTACAGCCTAAATTCCTGAGCTTACATTTTTAATTCTGAAAAAATTTCCCAATCCACAAATTTAAAATCCGACTCGTACATAGATACATTCATATATACATATTGCCCAACTCACAGACGAACGTGACGCATGGATGCATAAGCCTCATCTCCGGCTGGAGATTATGTATTTACAACCTCTCCTTCACAAGGCAACACGATTATGCATAAGTAATAAAAAAAGTGAGTGAATTTTTTGAGAATTTGCTTTTCTATTGTCTCAACTGAACCACGATGAATTAGCGAAATCCCATCTGCATAACTCAACCGCATCTCAATCAACAAGTCAAAGTAAATTGTAAGTTGTGGTATCAGTCTCACTATCATGAGGGTCCGTGCATGAGGCATGTCGTAGAATTGAGTATTTAAGCATGTCACCCTTCCACATTATTATTACAAAAGTACACTCTTAATAATCTGGCGTGGTATTTATTTCTCGGTGTTAAATTTACTACCGCTTGGTATTAAAATTATATACCGGTCCGTAAAAATTTGCTCTACCAATATGGTAAAACTTTAATACCGAGGTGCTATTGTTATTACTACGCGATGTTGCTTGTCCACTTTGGTAGAGTCAAACACATATCAATACCGCGGTTTATATTATTTTATTACCAGATTTTACGAGTGTATGAGATGAGACACCTTAAATAAATTGCATGAGTCAAAACTTCAAAAAAATTCCATCACATTCTTCACGCAGGGTCTCCCTCTCTCTAATTTGCAACATTGATCCGTACATGTAGCACTTTAAAACGTGACGAGAATTCACAAAAAATTGGATTAAATGCAACAATTTAAAAGTTTAGTCAACCTTATGAATAAATAAACCGTCGCAAACGCGCATACGGAAGTAGCTTCAGACGTACTTCACCCCAAACGGTCCCACCACAACTCGGGAACACTTAATTTCACTCTATTTCACCTATAGATTAATTTTTTGTAAAAATCTCATTTTGCCCCGACCACACCCCTGGCGCCTAGGGGGTGTGGCACAACTCCGGAACACATAATTTTACTCTATTTCACCTATAGATTAAATTGCACTAAAAATCTCATTTTGCCCCAACCACACCCGCTGGCGCCGAAGGGGTGCGGCAAAATCGGGGAAACACTCAATTTCACTTAATTTCACTTAATTTCATTTAATTTCACTCAATTTCACTTAATTTTACCCATAGAATAAATTGCACTAAAAATCTCATTTTGCCCCAACCACACCCCCTGGGGCCGAGGGGGTGTGGCACAATCGGGGAAGCACTTAATTTCACTTAATTTCACTTAATTTCATTTAATTTCACTCAATTTCACCTAATTTTACCCATAGATTAAATTGCACTAAAAATCTCATTTTGCCCCAACCACACCCCCTGGCGCCGAGGGGGTGTGGCACAACTCCGGAACACATAATTTTACTCTATTTCACCTATAGATTAAATTGCACTAAAAATCTCATTTTGCCCCGACCACACCCCCTGTCGCCAAAGGGGGTGTGGTCCGGTTGCCCCCAAAAGTTGATAGGATCCTCCCCCTGGGGTCCTATGTATGATGGCGAAAACCGATTTCGATTATCTCGATCCGTTCTCCTGATATCCTGCTGACAGACAGACGGACAGACAGACAGACAGACAGACAGACAGACAGACAGACAAAGTCTTCACATAAAGTAGCTGAAGCTACTTAATTATGTGTGCATGTTATTCTTATTGTGATACAAGATTTAAAAAGGTCACGTGCATACTTATAAACAAACTTGGGGCTGGAAGTTATGACTTTTACCTTACATTTTTATTTAAGTAAGGCTGAACAAAATTCGTTTAATTGTTGTGCTGTTTATTTACTATCTGACTGACGAGCAGTGGCCGCGGAAGGTTTGGGGACATTTGGGGACGTTAACCTTGTAGGATAGGGGAGGGAGGGGTTTATATAACATGGAGAGAAGATGAGGACATGAACAACCGTGGGGACATGACATACATATTGCCCCCCTGTCTCCACGCTTCCGCGGACACTGTTGACGAGTAAATTTTCAGGTACCGAGATTATGTACTTAAACAAAGCCAGCACTGCATAGTTATTTACATCAAGAGCGTATTAGTTTGTAACCTTCGCAAAAAATTTGGGCTTAAAAATTTATGTGCGAAAAAATTGCACATCCCCCCCCCCCTATGCACAGGCTACAATGGGGACGCAAATCATGCTCAACCCAGATTACAAGTTGTAATTTACAACGTTGCATAAAATGTAAATTTCATCGGGTAAGTTTTACACAAAATTTTACACACGTATGTAAATTTTCATCAAATATATAAGAGTGCATATTAATTTTAACTGCCAATTAATAATTGGGAACTAGAGAAAGAGTAACACGATCTTTTTTCTTAGAATACCCCTGATGCTGTGGCAAACTTAGTTTTTTTTTAACTGACAACACGCAACTACAAACTGACATTTTGGAGTAAATAAAAAAAACTTGAAAATTTGAAATTACTAATTTTGAATCTTACTCTGCTCCATTTCTAAAAAAAGGTAGATCACGATCTGCTCGAGACCAAAATTATATCTAACAATATATTTTTTCCCATTTTTTCAGGTAAATCCTTTCGACTCGAGGGGATCGAATTCTAAAATACTTAAACCCCGCCTGACAATTCGTCACCTCGACTTAAATAAGGTAAAATTAACTACTTAAATAAATTATTCACATATTTTTCTCCTAAGAATTTCTTGATTAATTCACACCTTTACTTTTCCTAGAAGATGGACCATTCCAACCCATATTTGGCCTTTATGAAGACCTTAAACGACCTGATGGCTCCGCCAACACCGTCGTCACCACCAAATGACGCCAAATCAAACTTCCAAACCTTTATCTTCTTGCGACGAGATTTTCGAGACGCCTTCGCCACCCGTGTTCTTCAACCGGTCCATGTCGCCCCCCGAATTGACGTCATGGTCACCGCGGCGACCAATGCTGTGTTGGAGGACACGAAAAAACGAAATATTACTTCGATTCTGGGCCCACTTTGCAATGATGGTAGTGGGCAGCCGCAGCTGTTAGATGCCGCTGAAGCGCTGGCTTTCCTTTGGGTCTATGTCGGCACGGCGGAGGCGGTGACGAGGAGGAGTGGACCAATTTGGGTCACCCAGTCGCTCGACGGCCATTTAGGGTTCCTATTCAAACAAGCAGTCTCCCTAGATAAGGAAAAGGTACATGTATGGTTGCACTCTTAAAAACAGCGTTACCCTAAATGTTATGTAAATTATAGAAAATTCAGAGTGATTTACTTGATAAAGAGTAAAAGTTTTTACGCTGGATTTAGTATAGTCTACTTAATATCGAATTCAGAGTGCATGAATTTACATTTCATGATTTTTAAGAGTGTGCATGCATAAATTATTATTGTAAGAATCCTATATATAGGCACTTGATGATAAATTATCAAATTACGAGAAACTTTTTTCATATTTTCTTAAAGAACTTACCTCACGTGGCCCACTTGTGGAGGAAAGTACGACAATGTCATCCCCCAAGGGAAAGTTTCCTTCCGTCACCAACATTTTTAAGGTGGCTTATGGTGACCTGGATTTGGACATGGTGCCGACCCTGGAGGCAGGAATGGAACTGCTTTTTGAAGAAATGTCGTCATTTTATGGCAACTTGAAGAATCCATCCATGAATGCAGAGATGAATGACAAATCAATTCAGCAGGAAATTGACAATTGTTTCCTGAAGATACCGCAATACCGAGGTCAACAATCGGACAAAGATCTTCCTCCAAAAGCAATTATGACACCATCTTCATCAACTTTTGGTTCTGCTCATTCTCCACGAAAAGCTGTCCCCGTCGGCAAAGCAGAAGAAAAGTCGATCGTCGTCCCTGCCTTTAAACTGGAAACGTCATCATCATCTGAACAAACACATCGTCCAAGAAGTGGATCCTATTTTGTCCAGCAAATTAGACAACTATTGAACAATAATGATGCTCCTGTCCCCCTGGATAACCAGTTTCTCCGCTTCCTCACAAATCCGGGTGAGTACGTCAGACTGAATCCGTCCGTGTTTCCTGAGGATAATGTCAATTGGTCCGCTAGAAAATTACTCTCCGACCAACCAAATGAAATTCCGGAAGTCGTTCCTCAAACTCCGGTCGACTGTACGGAAACGCTGCTGAGGGTGGATTTTACGGCGGAGGAGTACATCGACCAGACCACGGCGTCCAATTATTATGCTCAAGGGGTCAAAATTGTCGATGGGGTGAGAAGGGTCGTCTTATTCCATGAGAAGATAAATTTTTTCGGCATTAATAAGGACCATGTTTAAATTAATGTGGAGTTATCTATATAAATGTGATGGTCAACTTATCATTATACGTACCAATTAATTATTGATGAATTATACCATAAAAATTTCACTAAAACTTGTCCAATTCTCAAAGATTGTTTTTTAAAATGTGTCACCCCGTTTATTTATTCGCATCAACATCAATCTATATTATTAGTAGACATCTCTGCGGTTTTCGAGGATAATACTTGATTTATTGAAAAATTGCTAGCTTTCAGTGACCCACAGTCATCTTCATCAGGCATAATAATAAGATAATATAATATAATATAATCAATCTATATTATAAGCTGGAAATGTCTTTCTGCAACGGAAGTGAAAGTGATTTTCCGAAACGGAAGTGAAAGTGGAGAAAGTGATTTGCATATCAGCTGCGTTGGTACGAGCGGTTGGAAAGTCGATAAGTCAGTTATCCTTGGTTTTATCGTTTTGAAGGGAAGATAACGAAAACTCATAATTGTGGTTATCTGGTCGCTGGGGGGAGTGGGAGGGCGTGCCCCCTCGGATATGGTTATCGCTCTGCTGGGGGGAGTGGGAGGGCGTGCCCCCCTGGGATATGGTTATCGCTCTGCTGGGAGGAGTGGGAGGGCGTGCCCCCCTCGGATATCGTTATCGCTCTGCTGGGGGAACTGGGAGGGGTGCCCCCTGGAATATGGTTATCGCTCTGCTGGGGGAAGTGGGAGGGGTGCCCCCCTGGGATATGGTTACCGCTCTGCTGGGGGGAAGTGCCCCCCTGGGATATGATTATCGCTCTGCTGGGGGAGTAGGATGGCGTGCCCCCCTTGGATATGGTTACCGCTCTGCTGGGGGGAGTGGGGGTAGGGCGTGCCCCCCTGGGATATGGTTACCGACGTTCCGTTCAGTTCCATTCATTCAGGCCCGTTTCCAAACCAGTGATATGCCTGAATGATGGGAGGGAGAACGGATTCCGTTCCCTTCATGGGTACCCCATATTTACATTGGATTGTCTAAATTACAAGATAGATTTACTTAGCTTACACATAAGGGAATGGGATTCCCTTCCTCTTCCATTCCCTTTGGATATACTTCAGGCGAAGTAGGGAATCTTCACATCAAGGGAAGGGAAAGGGAATGGATTTCCCTTCCCTTTGGATATACTTCAGATGAAGTAGTGAAATCTTCGCATCAAGGGAAGGGAAGGGGAATGGATTTCACTTCCCTTTGGATATACTTCTGGCGAAGTAGGGAATCTTCACATCAAGGGAAGGGAAAGGGAATGGATTTCCCTTCCCTTTGGATATACTTCAGATGAAGTGTGAAATCTTCGCATCAAGGGAAGGGAAGGGGAATGGATTCCGTTCCCTTCATGTGTGGAATAAAGTTACCGCTATGCTGGAAGTAATAGAGGGGTGCCCGACATTGGCTGGGGTTTGTCTATCGAAAGTTGTTACACCCCCAGTGTTGCGTGGTGTTGCGATCTGTTGGTGGGGTCACTCACCAATAAATGACCTCAGCTATTTAATATTTGTCAAGACTCCTTCGCAGGTCTCACCCCAGTTTCACATAAAGAGCATGTCCGCTCCCAACGCCAGAAAAAATATACAGTAGCCGCGGAAGGGTGGGTTGGGACAGAGGGACAATGTCCTCATGGTTATTCGATGTTCCTTTCGGCTGCCCATGTTATACACATTCCATTCCTTTCATGTGCAGGCAACGTAGATTAAAGAAATGGAATCGATTCCCTTCATGCAGACCTCCGATGAATTAATCAAATCTTCTATTGAACAGATTTTGAACGCTGAGCATGAATATGTATGATATCATATGTACTTTCACATGCCACACACCAGTGACGGTGTGGACCAGTCAAAGGTCACATATGAACACACGTCAAACATATCTATGTCAGATTTTGAACCGGGTATAACAATATGATACTCATTTTGCTTTAATTCATAGGATCCATTCGTTGTGACCGTATACTTACGACCACATAGTATGGCGTGAGAATTGTTTAGATTTCTTAAATACTTTAGTTTTCCTACTATTGAGATTCAGCGAGGTCAACCGAATGGATTTGATTTGAATTTCAGCCCGCCTTCAATGTTAATAAAGTGGGCACGTGATTTTGTCGCGTAGAAATTCTGTGCGGTTGACTTCGATGCACTGTAACATTAACCTCTATCAACTAATATCATCACTTTCACGTTCATCACAAATTCCTTTGACTTATGTACGTCGGCGACAGAGAATTTCAGCTTATAATATAGATTAAAATATTTAATTGGTTAGTGTTTTGCAAAATTCCACTCAATTTTCATGAAAATCAAATAAGCTCTCGCCCGGCGGGAGACGGGCTTATACGCTAGTTCTACATATATGGCAGAAGAAGGATAAAATGGGGATATATGGGTATGTGTAACCATACATAGTCTGTCCGATTTGAGTCCTAGCAAAATAAATAAATGCCCAGTGGAACTAAACTCCAATCGACAATGTAGTAGATTATTAAATTTAAAATCTAAGACACCTGTCTCTTTAAAACATTAACGGTTAATACCAAGATTGCTTATGTATGTGCATATTTTAATTGCATGAAGTTGAAATTTTGTATAATCAGGTTGAGCTTTCTACGTAGGTTAGGCCTGCTAACACCTGAGCGTTGGATAGATTAGACCTAAACATTTCGTGCTCAGTTTTCCTTGAATAATTTATTAAATAAGCCATTGGTTAATGAAAAGGCGAAACACTGGAAGTCTGAACACGAAGATGGTAAAGTACAATTTTCAATAAATATGTAAATATGCATATATAATGGTGGTTAAGTTTCCAAGTGTATTAAAAAAACTGGTACGATGCCGGTGGTAATTAAATGTTAAATTTTTATAAGGGTTCAATGCATCCGTCATCATGAAACTGCTAGCCGATTGATGCATATCCGCTAAACGTTTAAATTTTAGGTAAATTGAATCAGTTAATATTTCCTTCTAAAACTGTGCTTCGCGTCTTATGGTGGAACCAAATTCACAACTTAAGAATGTACGAAATGAAATTTTTTCGAGTATGAATTGCGTGCAGTAAAAAAAACATCTAAGGTATTCAAGTTTGTTAAACAATTTATTGCCTGATAAATGTTTGACGAAAAGAAATGATACTCAAGAATATTTATGATACGTAACCCAATGTTTTACATATGATTTGTGGGGAATATTAACCACTTTATCACAAGTGTAATTTAATTGAAGACCATAAAATCATTGTCTGTCTAGAACAATTTCGATTTACGTAACACTGCACTAATTAGACTTATTTTGATTTAAACCTTTATTCAAGTGTTAATAGAAATCAATTTACAAAAACTGGTTACAATTATAAGACACAAAAAAGCTACCTATATAACTATGTAAGCGAAACAAAATAACTAATACTATAGTTCTCAGCATCCAACCTAGGGCAAAATTTGATTCCCGCTTTCGTATCCCTACCATACTAACAGTGTGGGAAGGATACGAGCACGTGATGGTCGAGGTTGCATGCTGCGCATATTAAGAAAACATCATTAGGTTTGAGTTCACGTACGGCTTTAACAAATTAGGTGTAACTCATCTTTGGAGTCCAATCTCTAGGGACATGTGCAGCTCCCAGCAACTAAATCTAATTCTGATATTTCTACATTCCACAGCAATTTCAATCTTTGCCCATGCATAATCGTACAATTTATGAAATTCATACTATGAAATTGAAAAAAAAGGATTGATTAACCGTTTCCCTAAATTTACGAAACTGTCAAATTCATTAAAAAATATTTATGATTATTCACGATAGTTGGAAATAAGTTTTTGATAACTTAATATGACCCAAAAAAAAACAATTTTATTTCAGTTTTATTTTCACTAGTCCAATTTTCCTACAACATACGTTGTCTTCATCAGGATCTAAAGTTTCCCTCGGAAATTTATGGATTTTTATCGTCATTATTCGTCAACTAAGTCTTCGGCCGTACATTAATTCTATTCCGTATTTTCCTGTGACGCCTGCACTTAACCAAAATTGTTGTAATTCGTGCCCAAATTAATGTAAACTTCTTGAAGATAGTTGCCCTATTGTATTTCGCATACTCGACAGCGAACACACATAAACTAATTGCCAAACAGGTGGCGAGCAGAATGAAGACCGTTTGAATACTGTCGCCTAGCCTGACCACCTGAAATGAGGTCGTTTCAAAACGAATTTTATCATTCCTGGCCTCTCTTTCACGGGCTATTGTCTCGTTCAGGCTAACCTGACGAAACACCTGGTTGTAAATCCCTGAACTGAAGAACATTTTAAGATATTGCAGCATGCGCGATTCCCGCCAAACCATAAGTGCAAAGCCGTTGTGAATTTCAAAAATTGTTTACTCCCCGCGAAACCATTTTTTGCCGGGATAATTTCTCCTCAGGTACTCATAGAAGGTGTCCACCTCGCTCGATGGCCCCATAAAAGCGGATCTGTCACACTGCAATATTTCCTCCTCAATCACCCGATTTACTTCATTGGTGGTTGCATTGTTGTCCAAAATCTTCAATTTCTCTGGGTACCAACGAATCCTTGGATGATTAAAAAAATAATACAGTAATCGCTGTAAATGAGGTGGACGTTGCAATTCAAAGTAAACTGAGAAAACTGGGAGCAAAAGATAATACATAAATTTGTAACTTAAGATAAAATTTTTCCCTCCCCTTTGTGATACATATTCCGACAAACTTGTGTAGCAGTATCCTCCCAAATTCTTGGCAATCTGGGGAATCGAAATAGTCACGTTCGTTTTGCCCAATACGTCAAGGACTGGATTTACTCTGTTCAAGATCATTTCGTGATCTGTCTTTATTTGTGGTTTCTCCTGACAGGAAATTTGTTCATACGTGTCGAATCGTTCTCCGGGAAAAGGTGAGTTTAAATTGATTATGAAACTGCTCAGGTAGCAATTACTGATCACGATGGCAACCAGTAGCCATGCCACACTTAAGACTTGAAAGGGAAGAAAATTCCTCATTTTTTTCGGCAGGTTAACCACCTCGTCGATCAGGCAACCGAAAAAGTATAAGAATACTTTAATCGGGTAGAATTCTTTGTTCAAAATGTAAAATCCTAACGAAATGAGACAAGTTGAAAAGAAAAGCGTGAAAACCGTAACCACCCACACCATTAGATCGTAAGGAGCGAAATAAAGAGAAAATGAAAGCCCACTTGAAAAGTGGGAGCAAGAGAAAAATGAGTAGCCAGAAGAACTTATGATGAAAATTTGGTTAGCATACATCAAATCCCTGAAAACCCATCTATTTTAGTAGAAATACCACGGGTAGAAGCAACCTTCCATGGGAACATTGTAGCACGTGTCAAGTGATAAATCATTAGTGGTGCAATGTCGGGTTGCATTGAGTTTGTTTAATACTCCAGCAAACACAAATTCTGAGATTGTATCTTGCTTGGAATATTCTATCCAACACTGCTCCAATCCTGTCGGGTAGGTGAAAGGGTTGAATAAAATTGTATCCTTACTTAAATTTGTAGTAATGCAGACAAAATTGTGTACAAGTGGACTAAAACTATTTTGGTGACAGGATCTCACCCTATCTTCCGGGAGGAACAGTAACACTCCAAACTTCACGGCGAACAGATACTCATGTGAGGCAGGTTGTGAGTATAGTGGGAAACTTATGTGGGATTCCAATATCTTGGGGCTACTTGGAATTAAAATAAAATAAAAAGAGTCCGGGTACACTTTCAAATTGACTGTCTTGTATAGTCTGAAGCGGTGATAGCTTTGAGTCGTAATCCAATACCCTAACGATTTCTCGTGCGATTTTGTAAAATTTGGCGAGCTTATGGTGACAAATAAAACTACGATTTCGCACAGCCATCCTCGATTTTGGAGGATTTCGAGTTGGGAAAGGGTAGAATTGTGTGGTATTTCCCGCGGAATAAACTCGAACTCGATAGGAAAGGGCCGTTTGGTCAGTGTAAGAGGGACGTTTCGGGTAGATGACAGTTCTGAGGTGGAAATATTGTTGAAGACGAGGTGATATCGACAATGGGTGTGAGGGGATAGAACATATGCCAAATTTAAGGCCATCCTTGATTCAGTAAAAGTAGAATTTGCGCTGCAAAATATGACGAAAGAGGTAAGGTAGATGTGACTTAGCTCGGCCATCGTTAATTTTCAGTTCAAAGACGAGGTTTCACTACTTGATTTAAGAATTAATGGACAAAACGAGAGGAGATGAGAATTACTTTTCGTACGACAAAATAAAAATTTAATCGAGTTTAAGAAACTAGAAAACTTACAATGACAAAAAAATGAGTGGTTTTCGTAAAAACTCAAAAAGTATATAGCCGTTGCTCAAATAGTAGCCGTGCTTAAATAGTAGCCGGGTCTATTTTCATAATTTTGCAAATAGTGACCGTGCTCAAATAGTTTCCCTGCTCAAATAGTAGCCTTGCCGAAATACTAGCCTTATTCGAATAGACGCATCTCTATTTCCATACAACCACACTTCTTGAGAATTCTTCAAGATAATTAAATTATAATTCAATATAATCGCAATTACACACTATCGAAACGATGAGTTGATAACTAAACACGAATCTATCTCATCTAAAAAATCATTGAAGAGCAGGTCGAGCAGAATAATATTCCTATGAACTACAACTCTAAGGGCAAAATTGGTGTTGTTCTTAAAATTTAATTTTAGTTTGATTCAGGAAATAAAAATGATAGTCGTATGCAAATAGTAGCCGTGTCTCTCTTCATAATGTTAGAAATAGTGACCTTGCTCAAATAGTAGCCTGGTCCTAGCCACCGATTTTATAAATTGTAGCCCCCGGCTACTATTGGAGTTCCTACGGTATGTATCTATGTTTGATAAAAGTAACAGGCCACGTAAATACATACAAAATGTCAGAAGTTGGGAAAAGTCATATAGCTAACGACCGACCTGGGTTGACTATTTGATACGACACCAAAATGAGAAATTGGGTACGACTATCGTCTGTTCGGTCGGATTTGACTCCGTGCAGAAAAATAAATCCCAAAGGGAAATAAATACCAGTTTACAGTATAGCCGCTGGCTTAAGACAATTCTCCCTTTAAAATATTTACGGTTGCTACCAAGATGTATATATGCATGTATTTTAATTAGCATAATTGCATGAGGTTGAAATTTTATAAAAATAGATTTACATAGTTTCCTACGCAGTTGAGGTCTGCTAAGACCTGAGCGTGCCATAAGGTTTAAAAACTTCATGATGATTCCTTGAATAATTTATTAAGTCTGCGATTAGTTGATGAAAAGGCAAAACACTGACGCAGGTATGTCTGGAAGCAGTGATGGCAATGTAAATTTTCCATTAATATTTAAATCCGCATATATAATGAAGCAATATTTCCAAAAAGATTATGCATAATCTTTATTAACTTTAGGATTAAAATCTACAAAACAGAGCAGACGTTGGGTAAAATTTTATTCGCATTTGAAGCCATAATATTAGTAATTGTCATGGAATTAACTACAATTTGCACGACTCCTATCGGAAACGGTTGACAAATTTAAAATTGTGGGTTTCAACGTCAGCCAAAATAACAGTAGACGGAGTGATTTAGCATTTCCTCCATAATTTCTTCTCTAATTTTCCATTTCTAAAATAATTTTAAATAATCATTTATGTTACTTAACTTTTATTTCATAACATTCACTATTTCGTCCTTACTCCCATCCGCTTAGATATCTCGTCCGCTCCTCGTTTTTGTAATCGTGAGTGCAGCCTGTCCTCTAATCTGTTGAAAATCGTGGCCCGCAAGGAAGCCAAGGGTCCACTTGGAGTTAGGAGTGGATTTCTAAACAGTCCCCCGACCCGATGTGGTGGGGTGAAGTCGATGTACAATTTCTTCATGGTGAAACCATAGTCAAATTCTTTAAGGTAGTTTGTCCCATTCGGATGGGAGGCAAACGAGCAGGCTAGAAATGCGTCCAAACCTTCCAGTCTAAAGGAAAATGTTCCTTTTCCAAAAACCGGAAGTTTTATGGGGCCAATTTTAAGACGTCCGGTCCCTAGTTTTAGTTAATATTAGCATATATATATTTACAGAAAAACATACTATTAGAAATCCGGTATTAAAATAATACCAAGCGGTATTCATGTACGATTCTAAATATGTACCAAAGTGGTAGTAATAACGTGTAATAATAGCTCGGAATTAAAGTTTTGCTGCATCGTTGGGAAATTTTTACGGACTGACATAATTTTAATACCAAGCGGTAGCAACTCTAACACCTAGAAATGAGCACTTGCATTACTTCTATCAAACATTATCTTTGACATCTCCGATTAGTTGCTTAATCGCGAATAATTTGTATTACCTGTAATTGATGCGGTTTCCATGAAAAGAGAAATATTTATGAACATTTTGCTCAAATCTGCCGTTATTCCGGTGATGTTAAATTTAGACAGGTTTTGAATGTAAATATCTCTGTAAAATAAGAACGCAAGTATTACCTCAATTAGCAATTAATTATTCAATTAAAACATATAATTACAGATATATTCCTCACTCCAAATTTGCCGAAATTGGTGGTGGTCTCACAGATCCATCACTTCTCTCCCGTTCTTCGCCCATTACCAGTTCAGGAATTCGAAGAGGGTCCAACGGCATTAAACCCGTGCTATTGTCCCCCTTTTGCATCTTTAATTGCGCATCCAAAATCAATTTTAGGATAATTGACGTAACCGGGTCGTGACTACAGAGGCTTTGTCTATCCCATCGTATTTGTTTTTGAGCGGCGGACTTATTATCAACCGAAGTCCCATTATTTCCTTCGTCTTCTATCGAATTAAACCAATCATCGTCATCAATTTCCTCGGAAGAGGAAGATGTAGCAGCAGAAGCAAAAATTGTGCAGGACACGATTAAAATCAAAATTTTTATATGGGACATGATTTTTTATACCTTGAACTTTATAAACGACACAATCTTGTATAATTTTAATTATTAAATATTATTGTCAGATTATTTTGCGGTATTAATGGACAATTGCGCAGTGATTTAGTTATCGCAAAGCAAATAAATTTTACTTATAACATGTGTTGCGTTCAATGAATTGCTTGGATAGGAACTCATATAAATCTGTTGGTCCGTCTTTGATAAGTATTCGCATGCTATTTCGTATGCATGATATTTACATATGTACATTCCTACATATACATATTTATTACTGAGACGAATTATGTATGGATTATGACATGCAGAAAAACTTTTATGTGTACATATATATGTACTTGTCGTTTTACAAAATCTTGTAACACTTGAATGTAATGTGCCTAATATTGACGAGGTAAACATTAATTGAGCATCATTTACATAAGTGGAAAATACGTTTGGCATTAAATTACATAAATATGTAACTTGACACTGGAATGGAGAGTAGGGTCATAATGAATGATCTTTATTATATTTATACAGGGTTGTATCCAATAAATGCAAAACAAATTGTCCACCTACGCGTTAGACAAGGCTTATGCTATTGTGTTTAAAAAAACACTTCACAAAAATTTCACACTTTTAGGAACTTTTGGTGTATGCAATTTTTACCAATTGAGAAATATGTACATAGAGCAAAAATTTCTGATTTCTGAAAGCTTTAAAAGTGTATTTTCTATCCTATATATATAAGTGAAGCAATTCTGAGCAAAGATTTCTTGATTTTTTGTTTATTTTACGGGCCGGGTGAAGTTTCCGTGATTTTGTTCCCCCTTTTTCCAGAATAAAGCAGAAATCACACTCTTAGAAATGGGGTTACGATTATAGCCAAAAAGTAAACGTATGTGAGTCTACCGCCGTGGTTATAAATTTGTCATCGAGTGGTTACAATTGTCACCGAATAATTATAGAGTTTCACAGACTTGGTATTAAATTGTCACCAGAGCTAATAAATTTATTTCCAGGTGGTGACAAATTCATACCCACTGCGGTAGAGTCACTAGTATACTATTTAGGTGGATGGAGAGTTCAGATATCCCACTATATGCAAATATTGCACACTATATCGGTTTGAAACAATATGCAAAAATTTATATAAAAATATGTAAACTAATATCTTATGTATGTATATATATTGTAAGTTCTGAAATTTGGAGAATGAAGTTGTAAAATCTTGGTACAAACAGATAGTCAAATTTTCGACATAAAATTATTTAATGTACTCTTGATTTTTAAATATTTTCCACTGTGTACTTCCTCCTTACCGGGTTCCCCACCAATTTGCTGGTCAATTATTTCCTTTTCTAGCTTCGGGGTATTTCATCTTTGTTGGATGATAATCATTGTGAGCGGTCCGCTTAAATCGTGAGTGCGACCCCATCAACACTTTTTGCATATTGGCCATCATGGCTTCCTGGATTTCGTGGCAAGTTAAATTGGGCGACGTGTTCCTGTCGAAGTTTGGGTAGAAGTCGGAAATTGACCGTTTGACGGGGTCATCTCCATACGCAACGGGACCAATGCGATCCAATGTCGGGTGTTTGTAGGAGAATGTCTTTGCCTTTTTAAGGATGACGTCCTTCATTGTGCAACTTCCGGAACCTATAAATAATTGAAAAACTATTTGTAAAAATTATAATTAATTAAGCAATTTTATTTAACGGAATAAAATGATATAATTAAATGTAGAGATATTGGCAGCTATGTAAAGTATTGAATGTTGCTGAAATGTATTAAGTAAAGGATTTCCCACTTGACGGGGTTTGATCTGCTTTAAGATATAATGAATGAACTTGATGTGAACAAATTAATTATCATTATTATCGATCTATTTTTAACCCTGTACTCACCGAGGGGACTCAGCTTTCCAGTGTGGTCAATCATCATCATTATTTGATGAAGGTCGAGTAAACTCTGGAATTTACATAAATAATAAAATCTTAGTTAGACAAATAGGAACAAAGGGAGGGGATTTGTGGGGAAGGTACTGTTAAAACACAATCTTGACCTTATAATTTTTAAATTAATGGTAAGCTCAACTTAAATATATCGAAATGCCATCACTCCCGAAGCTGGTACAAAATAAATTCATTTTGTTAATACAATAAAAAATTGTACGTACCAACAAATGCAATAATTTTTATCAAAACTTTTGAACATGTGGGAAATGTAAAAATTAACAAATCTTGAAATGTTTTATATTTTGATAACTCATCCGCCAGTAATATTTGTACGGTTTTTGAACCTCTTGTTTGCTCGTCTTTGCACGCTTGTAAAACTTCCCAAGTTAAAGGGTGTTAATAAAGTCCGATCCCATGCATTTTTTGGAGCGTGGTTGTTACAAATTCAGCTGGAACTTTTGAACCAGTGAAGTTATTTATTTCAAATTTTTACCATGGGAGGAACAACTAAACGTGTAAGTCATGAGCATCTTAGAGTTGAGATACAAACATTGCATCAGCAGGGGCTTAAACCTACAGAAATTGTGCAAAAATTGGGCTGCAGCCGCAGAACTGTTTGGAAATGGAAGAATAAAAATTTTGTCCACGACAAAAAGCGACCAGGGCGACCAAGAAAGGTGTCACCTACCACAAAAAGAATGATTAAAAACAGACTTTGCAAGAAAACCGGTAGTTCATTACGTAATTGAGCAAGGGAGTTAAATGACTCAAAACGCTATAAAGAGAAGAAGAAGCAAATTAACTGTGTGACCGTGCAAAAATTTGTGAAAACTACGAAGTGGGGTCACACAGCTTACAAACTAACCAAAAAAACCTCTCATGTCACAAAAATATATCGATGACCGTCTGAAATTTGAAGAACTCCTTCAGAAAAGTGCCCATTTGAGTGAAAAAAGACTTGGTGAAGAATTGCGCAGTCACATCCTTTGGACTGACGAATCTATTATTGAACTATATCCAAAATTGAACCAACAAAATGTTCGTTACAGGACAGAAAACAAATCGGATGTACCATCAAGAGCGATCCCAAAATTCGGGCTTAAAGTTATGGTAGCGGGTGGATTTTGTGCACGTTGCGTGACCCCTCTACATATCATACCAAAAGGCCAATCAGTCAATGCAAAGCATTATATGGAAAAAATATTACCTATCTATTTCGATAGCATGGGGAACAAGGAAATATTTCCGAATGAAAGAAAAATAGTTTTCATGCAGGATGGTGCTATAGCCCATACAGCAAAAGCGAGTTTGAGTCTCATCAAGACGCAAGTTTCAACGGTCTGGAGCAAGGGGGTGTGGGCCGCTAACGGCCCAGATTTGAATCCCCTGAAGAACCAGTGGTCCATACTTAAGGAAAATGTATACAAAGAGCCACAACCCCGAACGAGGGAAGAGCTAGTAAAAAAAAGTTCAAGATGTATGGAATTCGATTTCCAGAGGCACATTGGAAAAATTAGCACAGAGCCTTAAACAAAGAGTTGAGGGCATGGTTAAAGTAAATGGTAACAAGACCAAATACTAAGGTAAATATGTCGAACATTTTTTGTAAGTATCACGGGTAGTTTTTTTTATACTAGCCTTCACTTTTTTACAGGAAAAATGGGATCGGACTTTATTAACACCCTGTATATTTAGAAAGTGTTAACACATAAAATGGACCCTAAGCAAAATTCGGGCAAGTTGTGGCTCGAGTTTAAACAACTAATCAATCGAGTTAATGTTACATATGGACAAAATTGTAATAAGATTAAGCAGAATTTACTACGGGCAAATTATAACGATGGCAGTGAACCGACTAACATTTCGAACAGTTTGGAGTCCACCTATATTAGCAAATTAGTAGGTTACGCCACGGGTGGGAGTGAGGTCCCGAGATTTCTCAGATATTTAGAGGACAAAGTGGTAAGTTTGCAAGTAAATATGGGTCATACATAAATTATGTGACGCGAATGGGGGCAAGAGGAGACGATAACGATCCAATGATCCAACGTCCCTATACGTGACCCATGATGAACGGGGGAGATGGGGTCTAAAAAAGAATTTTGCGTTACATAATTTATGAAATGCCCAAATTTCAGAGTTCCTCACTTTCATCCCACAGAATTTTGTCAATTGAAGTACGATCTTTTTCAAACTTTGACAACTTCGGGTATCACTATTTGTTTTTTGAATGACATAAATTTGATTTTTTTATTTTCGCGGGTTCCACTAGTTATCGTCTCATTTAAATCATTTAATCTATATCCGGGACATCCTTTAATTTGAATTTTATAAATCTGGCATATTCCCGCAGGTATTGATTTCTACAGCTTGGTACAGCTCGCTAGTAAAATTATACCGGTCGGCAAAAATTTGCAAAAAAGACATGGCAAAACTTTAATATCGAACCATTACTAAACCTAACCCGTCCATATTACTTATCAATACCACTTTGTTAAATTCATATTTTAATACGCTTGCTATTAATTTACTACTGGATTTCTAAGAGTGTAACAACATCAATGCGATATTCGTATCATGGGAGGAATCAATGTCCCCTTAAGGAAAAATTTGATATGTATTTGGCTATTTTTGTTTATAGACTGTAATCGAGGGCGGACAATGGGTCGTGTTTGGTTGGACCTATGCCGAAATCCTGAACAAAGAAAGGGATCCTCCTACTCCAGATGGGTGTCGAAAAGTAACGGAATTCTTCACTTTTTGCATCAACCGTCACGCCAAGGTTTGTTCACCTTTTTAATTTCCTTATGGCTGAGATGTAATTTAGATGGGAATGATGTAAAAATACAGGGTGTTAATAAAGTCCGATCCCATTTTTCCTGTAAAAAAGTGAAGGCTAGTATAAAAAAAAACTACCCGTGATACTTACAAAAAATGTTCGACATATTTACCTTAGTATTTGGTCTTGTTACCATTTACTTTAACCATGCCCTCAACTCTTTGTTTAAGGCTCTGTGCTAATTTTTCCAATGTGCCTCTGGAAATCGAATTCCATACATCTTGAACTTTTTTTTACTAGCTCTTCCCTCGTTCGGGGTTGTGGCTCTTTGTATACATTTTCCTTAAGTATGGACCACTGGTTCTTCAGGGGATTCAAATCTGGGCCGTTAGCGGCCCACACCCCCTTGCTCCAGACCGTTGAAACTTGCGTCTTGATGAGACTCAAACTCGCTTTTGCTGTATGGGCTATAGCACCATCCTGCATGAAAACTATTTTTCTTTCATTCGGAAATATTTCCTTGTTCCCCATGCTATCGAAATAGATAGGTAATATTTTTTCCATATAATGCTTTGCATTGACTGATTGGCCTTTTGGTATGATATGTAGAGGGGTCACGCAACGTGCACAAAATCCACCCGCTACCATAACTTTAAGCCCGAATTTTGGGATCGCTCTTGATGGTACATCCGATTTGTTTTCTGTCCTGTAACGAACATTTTGTTGGTTCAATTTTGGATATAGTTCAATAATAGATTCGTCAGTCCAAAGGATGTGACTGCGCAATTCTTCACCAAGTCTTTTTTCACTCAAATGGGCACTTTTCTGAAGGAGTTCTTCAAATTTCAGACGGTCATCGATATATTTTTGTGACATGAGAGGTTTTTTTGGTTAGTTTGTAAGCTGTGTGACCCCACTTCGTAGTTTTCACAAATTTTTGCACGGTCACACAGTTAATTTGCTTCTTCTTCTCTTTATAGCGTTTTGAGTCATTTAACTCCCTTGCTCAATTACGTAATGAACTACCGGTTTTCTTGCAAAGTCTGTTTTTAATCATTCTTTTTGTGGTAGGTGACACCTTTCTTGGTCGCCCTGGTCGCTTTTTGTCGTGGACAAAATTTTTATTCTTCCATTTCCAAACAGTTCTGCGGCTGCAGCCCAATTTTTGCACAATTTCTGTAGGTTTAAGCCCCTGCTGATGCAATGTTTGTATCTCAACTCTAAGATGCTCATGACTTACACGTTTAGTTGTTCCTCCCATGGTAAAAATTTGAAATAAATAACTTCACTGGTTCAAAAGTTCCAGCTGAATTTGTAACAACCACGCTCCAAAAAATGCATGGGATCGGACTTTATTAACACCCTTTATGTTCCGGGGTAGTGTATTTATGTAAAAGATTTAAGTATATTTAAATTTGTACTTTCTTAGGACACAGATAAGATTTTGAAGACAATAGATTTGAGCAACATGTGTTTTTCTACGCTTTTACTGCAGACCAGTAGTAGTAATCCGTAAGCAGATTTATGTACATTCATACATATATATATTCATGTGTATATATGTATATCTTCATCTTGACGCGTTATTATGTACATTCATGAGTATTACATAAATTGTAAGGGTTGAAGGATACGATGTGGCTGCTTGAAAAACCTGTTACATTTAATGATATCTGATTGTCAATATAATGTTGGAAGGGTTTAACACGTCAGAGATGAGATGAGCTCTTTGGGACAGTGCACAAATTATGTCATCGATCTGGTGGATGGGTGGTTTTGGATCGCCTACCTTACTTGTTTTAAGCTTACTATTAGCTTGATTGGTAGGCTGGCTGGTCTAGGAATTCACGTTTTTTGATGACATCGTATATGAGCGCTCACTGGCCTTTCATACGAGTTAGGTGACATTTTTACACAAAATTTATTTCGTTTGAAGTACATTTTTAATTTTAACTAAACCCTAATTTAATTAATTAATTTTAATTAATATTTTTTAAAATTTCAACTTAAAGTTAGTTAATTATTGCAAAGGTGTGTAAATATGAACCACTCGTTAATGCATTATTTAGTTACATACTTTCTAATATTTTGATCCTAAAAAATATTTCTGATTAATCAACGATTTAATCAACTTTTGAAAGTCGATGACGTTGATGTGGTCCCAGGGTACGTCAAAACTGTTGAACTCTTGGCAACTCATCCGCTCTTCCGTTTTCGGTTGTATCATTTTAACAACACTGCTAAAGAAGAAGTTTAGTTCATTATTTACGTCTATAAATTTAGATTCTTTGTGATTCTGAATTATTTCACTAGCAACGGATTGCACATGTTTTCCTTGTATCGGTAGAAGTACGACTAAAATAAGAAGGCCGAGTGAGTACACTTCCGCCTGTAGTGTGACCTCATTTCCATCCCATACCTCTGGCGCCCGAAACCGCGCGTTACCCTGGGCCGGGTAATGCACTTCTACCTGTTCCGGAATTTCTTTGGACAACCCAAAATCCGTAATTATAACAGGGAATTTGAATTCGTTTGCACTTGCGGAATTGGAAAATAATATGTTATTCGGTTTTAGGTCCCTGTGCATTATGTTCAGCCTATGCAAATACTTGAGACCTCTAATGATACCACGGACAATTTTAATGGCCATTTTGGCAGAATGCGGATCAAA